TTTCTGAGCGGGCGACTTCAATTCCAAGGAAATACTTCAAGGGACCTAAATCTTTCACTTCAAATTTAGATGCAAGGAATTGTTTCAATTTTTGTATTTCTGATCTCCAATTTCCTGTAATGATGATATCATCCACATACACTATCAATACAACAACTTGTTCCTAACAGTGTCGGTTGCTCAATGTTTGGCTGCTCCACATCTCTATCACATTGTTGATCTCTACAACGTGTACGTTGGAAGACACGAAAGGGAGCAAGATCCGAAATAAAAGGAAGAGAGACTTGGCGGACCTGAACCTGCTTCTCCTCTTCCACACTACTACTCTCCCCCTGAGGAGAAGCAGGGAAGAGCGGTTCAGACTCAAATAAAGACACATCCATAGACACAAAAAACTTATGACTAGCAGGATCAAAGCACCAATACCCTTTTTGAGAGGAGGGATACCCCAGAAAGATACAAGGAATGGACCGAGGGTCTAACTTGCTTTGAGACGGAGACAAATCATGGACAAAGGCACGACAACAAATAACTCTCATGGGAATGGAAAATAAAGGGGACTGAGGGAATAACAACTGATGAGGGGCCATGTAGTTCAACACTCTGGAGGGCATGCGATTGATGACATAAGCAGCTGCAAGTATAGCATCCATCCAAAACCTTTTTGGAACATTCATGTGTAACATCATCCCGCGAGCTACCTCAAAGAGGTGTCTGTTTTTTCTTTCTACAACACCATTTTGTTGTGGTGTTCTTGTGCATGAGCTCCTATGAATAGATCCGTGGGAGGCAAAGAACTCATTGAGCTCACCGTGGAAACATTCTTTTGCATTGTTTCATTGGAAGATCTGTATTTCAACATGGAATTGCGTAAATACCATCCTCTAGAAGTCTTTCACAATCTTTGGAACTTCGTCTCTACTACGCATAGGGAATACCCATGTATAGCGAGAGAAGTCATCGACCAATGTGATAAAGTACTTATATCCGCCCTCAGAGATTATAGTAGTAGGCCCCCATACATCAAAATACACAACATGAAAAGGAACACTTGATCTTTTATTATTTGAGTGAAAAGTTGTTCTACATTGTTTGTTCAACTAACACGTTTAACACTGGAACTCCAACACTGAACATGACTTAAATAAAACCAGAAACAAAGACTTTACTATTTCAAAAGAAACATGACCTAACCGACTATGCCACAAAAAAATTTGACTCTTATTTGATTGACTATATGAATCTGAGGATGACACCGAGAGACCAACTTTGTTGTCAAGAATGTAGAGACCATCCACTAGGCTCCCTCTACCAATCGTCTTCCCAGAAGTTAGATCCTGAAAAACACATGAACCAGGAAAAAAAGTTACACTACAGTTTCAAGAGTTTGTGATACTACTGATTGAAAGCAAATTTATAGGAAGTTGAGGGACATGCAATTCACAATTCAGGTTAAGGCCATGGGAAAGAGATATTGATCCTTGGCCTACAATGGAGGAGAATGATCCATCTGCAAGCTTCACTTTATCCCTTCCTGACAAAAGGCTATAAGTCTGAAACAAGTTCGGCTTACCGGTCATGTGGTTAGAGGCCCCTGAGTCAATGATCCAAGGGGAACTAGTGGCAGTAGTGACATGGAATGCAGAAGCCGCATTACTTGATGTAGATGCAAATGAAGTAGGAGTACCAGTGACTGAACTATCCATTTGTCGCAAAGCCCTACCATATGACTCCAAGTGGTCTCCGAAGGAATTCATGATATCTTCCTTGGGGTCAACAACCTAAGTATC